TCAGAACCAGGCCACGTGCTGACTGGGAAAGACCAACAATTATTCATGTGCAAGTTCAAATTGAGGCTAAAGAAAATTGAAACAAGTCCACAAGAACCAAAAAATGATCATGAGTTTATTCCACCTGAATTTAAGAATCATCTTATAAGATTTGAAGCATTGAACAACAGTGATCAAAGACCAGATGAGTAGCATATCATCTATGAAAGGGGAAATGTCACTACAACACAGAGGAGGAAGAAAAAAAGCCAAAGTATTAGAAAAGAGTCTGAAAATTGCATTATAATATTGAGAAGCTAAAGCAAAGGGAAGAGGTGCTGAAGTGAAAGAGCTGAACAGGAGATTTCAAAAGATAGCTCAGAAGACAAAGCAAAGTATTAAAAAACATGTGCAGAGAACTGAAATTCGAGAATGAAAGCTAAGAACTCACTTGGCAGTTCTCATAAATGGGAATAATTGAAAAGCAAATTGAAGCCTTGAGTTGCAATACTGAGAAGAGCTGTTGGCAAAATCTTGAATTATTCAGGAAGCATCAAAAAAAGAATACACAGAATCACTGGACTAAAAAGAATTGGCCAACATTTAAATAATTTGGGAAGTAGCATATGATCAAGAGGCAATGTTCATAAAGGATGATATTCAGGCTGTACTGAAGGCATTGGCACTAAATAAGGCCCCAGAAATCAACGGGATGCCAACTGATAGATTTAAAATAGCATGCAGCCTATGTTGTCCTCACCGTTCTTTGGCCAGGAAATTTGGAGCACAGTTGCCTAACTGACTGACTAGAAGATAATTGTACTTGTTCCCATTCCTAAGAAAGGTGATCCAGTAGAATGTGGAAATTATTAAAACAATGAGTCAATATCACACGCAAGGAAAATAGTGCTGGAAAATGGCTAGAACAGAATTTCTTGTCAGATATTCACTGGGTTTAGAAGAGGCCATGGCAGAAGTTAAATGGATCCTGGCTGACAGCAGAGAATACCAGAATAATGTGTATTTGTGCTTTATTGACTATGCAAAAGTATTTGACATCATAACAAATTATGGCTGGCAATGAGAAGAATGGGAATCCCAGAACACTTAATTATGCTCATGCAAAACCTATACCTAGACCAAGAAGCTATAGTGCAAATAGAACAAGGTACATCAAGGTTGTATCCGTTATTCATACTTTTAATAATCTGTATACTGAGCAAATTATTTGAAAAGCTCTACTCAGTGAAGAAGAATGTGGCATCAGGATCAGAGATAGACTTATCAACAACCTACATTATGTAGATGACATAATCTTGCTTGCTGAAGGTGAGGAGTATTTGAAACACTTGCTGGAAAAAAAATCAAACACTGCAGCCTTCAATATGGATTGCATCTGAATGTCAGGAAAACAAGAATTCCAAACCCTGGCCTGTTTGGCAATATCATGCAAGATGGAGGAAAGATTGACACGTCCAACGACTTCATTGTATTTGAATCCAGAATCAACACCCTTTATACCGTAGTTAGGATATCAGGGGACATATTACACTGAGAAAGTCTACAATTAGGGACCTCTCAAAATTATTTAGAAGCAATGATTATTTAGGACCAGTTGGAAAACTAAGGTGCACCTGATTCAGGCCATAGTCTTTTTCATTAACTGGCCATGCATTAGTGAGCTGGACAGTGAATAAGGATGACAGAAGAATTCATCCCTTAGTGCTATGGTGTTGGAGAAGATTCCTTAAAATTCTATAGACTGCCTAGGGAAAGATGGCAACACTTCATTTCCCATAACCTTGAGGATGTTTCTAGGAGAGGCAGTTCCTTGGAGACAGACTCCATACTTGGAAAGGTGGAGGGTCAGTGAAAGAGAGGGAGACCCTGAACTAGATGGATAGAAACAGTGACTTCAGCAATGCACTCAAGTATGCCAGAAGTGAAGAAAATGGCACAGTATATAGGACAGGGTTCAGATCTATTGTTCATAGGGTTACTCTCAGTCGTACTTGACTATACAGCACCTAACATGACATGCTCTGTGAGCTTAAGCAATTGCAAATTGACTAAATAAATAGAAAAATCTTAAACATAGCAGAAATTGAGAGGATGGCTCATAATGGGGCAGTAGTTTGTAGTTCTGTGAGTTGGAGCCAACCCCTGTGGCACCTAGGCACCTAATAGTAACAGCATCTTTGTGTTTTTACATGCACATACATAAATTAATGCCATCAAAAAAATTGACTGATGGAAGCACTTACCATTCTTTTTCGGGTTTAGAGTTAAATCTAATATCGCAATAACCCACATTGATATGTTGTTGTTGTTGTTAAGTGCCGTCGAGTCACAGGCGACTCATAGCGACCCTATGAAGGAGAGTCTTCAACGACTGGGTGCCTTTCATCTTCTCTCTAGCCATATTGATAGAAGTATTTTATAAAATACAAAGAATAATTTGAGATAATGGAGAGAATTTTAGAGTAGGAATTGGGAAAATTGTTTTGAACTCTAGACTGCCATTAATACTAGTGTGAATTCTGTCTCCTCTCAAGTTCCTCACTTTGGAAAAGTAATTTGCAAATGGATTTTACTTGTGCTTCATCAGTAAGTGAAAGGGATCCAGTTATTTAACAATTAACATAAACATATTTAATATTGTTGTTGTTCTGTTCCTTCCAGTCAACTTTGACTCACAGAGACCCTCTGAATAATGGCTCTGAACTTTGCCCTGTACTGAGTTAGTTTCACCATCTCTGACATATCTGACTCCCCTGCCACAGTCCATCTCATCTAGAGTCTTTTTCTCCTGTGTTTACTCTCTCCTCTCCCAAGCATAATGTCCTTCTCCAAGGACTGGTCCCTTCTGGCAGCAAACCCAAAGTTTGTTAGATGGAGCTTCAAAATTCTTGTCTCCAAGGACGAACTTGGCTTCAGCTTCTCCAGGCCATACCTATTTGTTCTGTAGACATCATTCTGGTACTCTGTGTTTTCAACCAACAACTGTGTGACACCAATAATGATATCTTTAGTGCTGTGGCCACTAAACTTGTATTTATGACATTTCTCTGTCTATCTATTGTTCTAGTTGGGTTTTTTTAATAATCTTCAGCAAGATTTTGCTTACATGTGATATTAGTGATATTGTTTGATAATTTCCACATTCTTTTGGATCACATTTTTTGGAAATGGAAATAAACAGGGCTGTCTTCCAGTCATTTCACCAGGTAGCTATCCTCCAGAGTTCTTGGCCCAACCTGGTGAGCACATTCAAGGCTGCATCTGTTTGCTGAAAACATATTCAATACATTTGTTAAATCCTAGCCCAGTTGATTAAGAATCATTTTAGAGATTTTTATTAATAGAATATACTTGGAAGCCTGTTTTTAATTTGCTTTTGTCTGATGCACAAAAGCCACATGTCTTCTACTTTTATCCATTGTATTCCATAAAGAAATGGATTTGTTTTTTCCTTTTTAAAATTTTGATCTTCTCTGTTTCTACTCTTTAGAACTGTGAAGTTGTTGTGAGTAAAAGGAAAAAAAACAAGGGCTATTTCCTAGAAGTATGTTTATTTTCTCATCACTTTATTAATAATAATATTCTCCAAGTAAGAAAGGAAACTCAGAAGTACTTACTGAGTACCAGTATTAAGACTCTTGGTTTTTTTTCCTCTGTTGTACTTCTTAAGTAAGGTTGTCATTATTCTTTAATTCAGAGGAACTCTGATAGTGTAATGCTTAAGAGTAAGTTACTCTGGAATGTTTGGTGGTTCAAATCCATTAGCTGCCATATGGGAGAAAGATAAGTAGCCTCCTCCTATAAAGATAAACAGCCTTGGAAACCCAGTACAGGGACACTGTGAGTTGGAGCTGACTCAGTGGCAGTGAGCTTGTTTTATTTTTTCCTTTAATTAAAGTCAACTTATAACTCAATGAGTATTTAAAAAGAAGTATTTGGAGAAGAGTACTAAATATCCCATGGACTGCCAAAAGAACACATAGATACGTCTTGGAGGAGAAGATGCACCCAGTGTGCTCCATGGAGGCAAAGATGATAAAACTTAGTCTTACATATTTGGGGCATGTTGTTAGAGGAGAGGCTGTTCATTGGAGAGGAGCATCAGCATGGAAAGATGGAGGGACAGTGAAAGAAGAAGATGTCAACCAGGTAGGTTGACACAGTGACTGCAGCAGTGGGCTCAAGTATATCAGAGATTGTGAGGATGACACAGGATAGGACAAGGTTCAGGTATGTTTTTCATAGGATCACTGTGAGTCATACTTGATGGCATCTAACAACAACACTAAACATAAACCTGAACTCACTACTATTGTTATTATTTGTAACTAATAGTGACCCTATATTGGGTTTCAGAGGTAGTAAATCTTAATGGGAAAGACAGTCCCTATTTCTCCTGCAGAGCCCTTTTGTTTAGCATTGCAGTTCACTGTGGACTACACCACCATAGCTGATAACAGGATTGGAATTTTCATATTTAAGTTTGGAATAGTTAACTTGAAACCTTGACAAAACACCATGGTAAAAAAAAAAACAACAAAACAAACACCTACTCATTCATTGCTATCAAGTTGAAACTTAATCATAGCTTACCTTCCAGTGTATTTCTGAGGCTATAGATTGAATGGAAGGAGATTGCCTATCTTTCTGAATTAAGTGGCACCTGGTATCCTTAGAACAAGAGGCTGAGATAATCCTTCCAAGAGTAATTTTTAAACTATTAAGAGAGAGGTAGAGGAAAAGGGTTCTGATGTGAAATGATAGAATTCTGTCTTTATTTCTTTTCCAGAGCACCGCTATAGGCTTCATATGGAATTTTCCTTAAAGAAAAAAAAATTATGCAAACAACTTTCAGCAGTAGGACTTTAATGTCTTTTTTTTTTAACTCAGTTAATATAAATATATTGAAAGACTTTGATGAAGTGTACCATTCAAGATTGGCAACGGGATAATATGAATTATTTAATGAGTAAAACATTTCTTTTCATTGTTATTAATAGAAACAGATATGCAATATGCAGCAAAAGTATACCGTGATGAGAGGCTTCGAAGAAAGGCTGAGGCACTGAGCATGGACAACTGTAAAGAACTGGAACGGCTAACGAGTATCTACAGAGGAGAATGAACTGGAATTTTTAATTATACCTCTTATCATACTCTTTCTTATTTTTCTGTAAGTAAGTTTAGTTTCATCATGAGAGCTGAAGAAAAAGGTTTGATATTAAAAACTAACTGAATAGTTGCTCCCTGAAATCTTGGACTCTTTATGACTTACTGGCTCCTTTAAACAGTAAGAAATGGAAAACTAAATATTTTAGTTCTACAATTATTTTCATGTTAAAAACTGTGTGGTTTCTAACTGAAAATGTCTCAAGAAAGAGGATTATCCCACTTGTAGCAATTTCCAAGTCTTAGTAATTCTCCACTTTTTCCTCTTGTAATGTAAATATTTATGGAATAATCATTTTGTGTACATACTGCTTATTGCCTTTTATTTAAAGTCTTTTAAGTGTTTAGCTCCATGAGACACTTCTACTTAAATTGATGGAATAAACATTATATGGCAATTCTACTCTTGTTAGGTGTCAAATGTGTGGAGTTTAAACAGTGAAAGTTGTTTCAGAAGGAAAGAAAAAGCATAGACTCTTTAATTTTCTGTAAAATCTTTTAGTATTACCAGTTTAGAGGGAATTGATATTTTCAAATATTGCCATTATATTTCAAAACATATATTGAGATAAATGAACTGGTATAGAGTATCAGTTTGCTATTTAATTTTATGAATTGCTAAGCCATGCATAGAAATGAAATGCTTTATTGATAGATTTTAAAGAAGTTATAAGGAAATGGCTATCTAGATATTAAATCAACAGCATCTTCAACAGTAAATTACAGATGTATCTTTTGCATTCCAGTAGTTAAAAGGCCCTTCAAATGTTCCTATCTTTGAAGGTTCCTGCATTTATGACTGATTGGACCCACTTAAATTCTCCCCTATGAAAATCTGCAGTTTCTTAGTGATAATTTAATCAGGATCCAAGAGTGAATGGATTATTTTCCAAATAAGTAGTAAGAAAAATTACTACAGAAATCAAGCTTGTGCCTTTTAACCCTATTGCCAATGACTAACCAGAAGATGTCAGTGCACTTACTTCACTAGAGCATGATCTGTTTAGCTACATGCAACAGTGAACAAGTAGAATAGTCATTTACAATAAGCCATTGTTTAAAAAGTCTGAGTTAAAATCTGTTCACCATTGAGCAATTTACTTACTTCTATAGGAATAAGCTTCTTATAATTAAATCTCTAACATAAATTAGAAAAATCATCAGGAAATTGAAGTTTTTGATGTATGTTGGAATAAAACTATTTGATTTATAACCTGTATACCATTATAATAATTAAACTCTTTTTCTTCTTAGTTAGTGGAAGAAGTACATATGCTTGGGGTTTTGTGAGAGAGAAAGAGAAACATGCACTGGCAGTGTTCTTTTGGTTTTAAGATTATTTCAGAATATAGTTAACTTTTTATTGAATAAAACTGCTACAGCAACCATTTTGCCCTTTAAAAATGTTCAGGTATCCCTTTTCAAGTGAATCTATAGAAATTCCTTATTTAAATAGGTTAAAATAAACAATATATGGTCCTAGGAAAATTGAATATTTTAATTTTTTTTAGAGATGTGATCTTTAGAAGAAATAACAATACCTAGAAGAAAATTTTCATTTTAAATATCTCCTGAAACAGTAAGGTGATTTTTTAAAAAATATCTAACTTTGGAAGTTTATATGCATCAGAAAATGTTTAAAAATTTATCCATTTATTTTTCCAGTTTTATTGGGAAATTTACATTCTGTTAGTTAATATTAGTTGAACTGAACCTTCATTATAGATTCTGCCTTTAATCCTGGCTTTGAGAGGATAGGTAGAGTTAAGTGAAGTTGTGTATCTTATACACTGCTTTTAGACAGTATTAAATTTCATTTGCATTGCTGCATTCCATTCTGTTTCACAAAATGTTAGAGAAAATGTGTTTGATAAAATTCTCAAAACTGTGTGAAATGACTTGACAGATGGAGTGAGTGTTTTATAATTTAAACCGTCTATATAGAAGTAAAATTTGGGTCCATTATGTCCTCTATATCTTAGTTCAAAGACCCAGCCAAGTGTCTTGGATTTTTGGGTTAATTCTACAAAGTAAAAGAAGCCATTAGCTATTTTGAGATGTAAGATTTTCATTTTTGCTACTCTTTTTTATGATAAAAACCCCAAGATTTAACTCTTGAGCTACATAAGCTCTGCACTTTTCATTTGATAATTTGTACTGTTCTTTTTAGTCACTACCTAAAAAGCCCTTTAATCTTTTGAACATTGCTCTATTAACTTCTCTAGCAAGTAATTTAGAAGTTTGGCAACAATTATATTTATTAATGTACATTGTTAAATCCCTTGCCTTTCACACACACACACACACACTCACCCTCACCCTCCATTGCTGTCACACACACACACACACACACACTCTCACCCTCACCCTCCATTGCTGTCTTTGTGAAGGTTTAGGGGAAAGGCAAAATAGTACCTTTTCTCCTCTTCTTGACACTATACTTCCCCAATAGATTGGTGCTAATAATTTTACTATTTGGAATATAGTTTGATCAAATATGAGAATTTAGTTCTCAGCAATGAAAATGTTCCCATTATAATCCACCTGTAAATGAAAATAATTTATCCTGGAGCATACTGCATTGGAATACTTAATTAGTATTTTTTTCATAATCATGACATTCGTATTTATGTATTGCAGTGATTTGGTACAGAAAAGTAAGTCCTTAGGTACAGTTATGCTTTTGAATTAAAATACTCTGGTTTTGTCTCGGCTCAGGTGTTCAGTGGAACAAAAATGTGGAATGCCAGCCCATACCTTAATTTCACTTTTATGGTGGTGTTTTTGGTTGTTTTTTTTTTCCCTGTTAAATCTTCAGTTTTAATATGCAGCTATTACTGAAATAAAATATGACATGTTACTATTAGTTTGTATTCCTATATCATTTTATAAAATAAATAAATCTCCCAGTTGCATATGAGGCAGTAAGATATTTCTTGAAATTGGGGCTTGAGGACCAAATGGGTTATCTTTATAGTAAAGCAGATAGTATGTGAAAAAATCTAATGGTTCAAAAAAAAGAATTTGCATTATTTGACATCTCTCTGCAAAGCTTGGGTTCAGTACTACCCATTTTACTATCTATCTCTATACTAAATGACACAAACTGAAAAGAGATTCACAGTGTTTTTTCCCCTTTCATTCCTGAACAGAAAAATTTCTGGAAATCATAAGTAAACATAGTTGTATTCTCCTTTAAATATTGGAAAAAGCCTTATATATTGCCTAGGTTGGGCTATTGCCTCATTAAAATGTATAAATTTCTCTACAAAAGGAAATGGTAGTCTTGAATAAAACTAGTGACTATTGAGTCCATCCTGACTCAGAGCAGCCCAATAGGGCACAGTAGAACAGTTCCGTAGGATTTCCAAGATGAAGAATTGTCACAGAAGCAGACTACCAACCGCTTTTCTCTCTTTGAGCTACTGGAGGGTTTGAACTGCCAACCTTTGGAGTGACAGCCAAGTGCTTTAATCATTGCACCACTATAGCTCCTCAGTCTTGAAATAACTTCCAAATATTTTTGTAATATTGATTTTTAATTACAAAGAAAAAGTAAATAGAATGAGGCTTTTCAAGCAATTCTTGCACATCCTTTAATAATTTGGTGAGCAACATAGTACTAGAATCCATACTTCTTTTTTAGTTTAATTAACATTAAATAGATATTTTCATATAAATGAAAGCATTTCTCCTGAAAACATCAACTCAGAACATACTCCTTATATTAAGGATTATGTAACCACAGTTTTTGTAGATTCCTGAGGGGTAGTTAATTCTTGTTAGTATATTATTCCTTTTAATTTAACTTAATTATCTGCTGGTGTTGGGGCCAATAGATTTGTGAATACTCTGTGGATGTGTCCATGTATAGGTAGATATATGTATTTTTCTTTCCAGCTAATACCTCAAATGTGTGATTATGTAATATATACCACACTATGTTTGCACAGAGCAGGGCTTCCATTAGCAGTGGACATTCTTATTTCTAACTTTGAAAATGAGTCCGCAGAAATTCACTGTATAAATACTTTCTGTTCATCCTTTTCCTTTTTCAGTATAGACATTCCTATTGTAAATCCTGCACTTCAAAGATAATTGCACCTACCTGTATTTAGCAATCCGGAATGATAGGAAGCAGTTAAGAAGTGTTTCTCTAAATATCTAGGTTTAACAAATTATTATTAAAAACTGTGGTTTCTGGTCTAGTTATAGCATAGCAAATGACACTTGACATGAATGGGAATGAGTCTGCTAATTTACTTTGCCATTTTACAGCACCATTCAAAGATATGCAGTGATATTGGTGTGTTTTAACCATTAGTTTCAAAATTATTATTATTTTTTTTAGTGTATGATATTACCAATGAGAAGAAACTCATTCCCAGATGTTATTTTTTAGTAAATTACTTACATTAAGAAATGCTTCTTACCTGTTGTTTTGTTTGTTTACTTTCTAATTGCCACATGAGAAAATTTCTGTATTTTAAAACCTGCAGGTAATTTTCAAGGTATGATGGAATTTTAATGGAAGCCTTGTATAATTAAATGAGTTGAAATTAGTAAAGATCTTCATCTATAGTGCATTGAAGATTATACAATTAGGTTTTAAAAATTAAATGTCTGATGTGTTAATATATTTAATGCTATATCAGACTTAAAAAAATAAAGTTTTCAGTGTGAGAATTCTGTTGAAGAAAATGGCAGATGATTTTTATGAATGTTCTGAATGATTTATGAATTTTTGTCTTTCAATCTCTGTAGTTTATCTCAATATATAATAAAAACATCTGTTCTCACTGTATGTGATTTTTAATCATGCTTTGTAGTCTTGTTTCGTTTGACTGTGTGGACCATAACAAACTGTGGCTGACTGTGAGAAGAATGGGAATCCCAGAACACTTGATCGTGCTGATGAGAAACTTATACTTGAACCAGGAGGCAGTCTTCAGAGCAGACCAAGGAAACACCGCATGGTTCAAAATTGGGAAGGGAGTATGCCAGGGATGTGTCCGGTCTCCATACCTTTTCAACATGTATGCAGGAAAGATCATCCGGAAGGTTGGGCTCTATGAGGAAAATGTGGCATCAGGATTGGTGGAACATCTGTCAACAATCTGTGTTATGCAGATGACACAACCCTGCTTGCAGAAACTGAGGAGGACCTGAAGCGCCTTCTGCAGAGTGTCAAGGACTGCAGCCTTCAATATGGATTGAGGCTCAATGTCAAGAAGACAAAGATTCTCACCACTGGGCCAATTGGCAGCATCAGGATGGATGGTGAAGAGATTGAGATTGTTCACAGCTTTAGTCTGCCTGGCTTCAAAATCAACACTCTTGGCACCAGCAGCCAGGAAATTAAAAGACGTATTGTGATGGGAAAGTCTGCTGTTAGGGACCTCTCCAAAGTACTGAAGAGCAATGGTGTGTCTCTGGAGACTAAGGTG